AACAGGTTCAGTTGGGAACTTGATGAAAGAACTTCGACGCAAGACTTTGTTGATCACCGAATGTGTTGTCTTATTGAATTCTTGCAGGTTTTGCATACTAAACAGTTGATGGATTGTATGTTCATATGGGGGTTCATATGGTGCTTCGAAGTGGTTTAGTACATGGTGTTGTTCGTGAGGAAAAGGAAGGAAGCCTTGGGTGCTGGAAGAAGTGTCTAAACTTCATGAAAACAGGCTTGCGGTGTACGAATTAGCATGTGGGCTTTACTAACGAATGAGGACAGCTTGTGTGTGACTTGGGGAAGTTGCATACAAATTCTGAAGGAGCATGGCATAATGTGACATTGGGGTGTTACAGCTTTGTTGGTGTCCAGACGAGATTGAGGACATTGATCTCGTGAGCTTTGGGTGAAACTCGAAGTTTTGTTTAACCTATAGGATACAAACTGGAACCGAGGGAAGACTTGATCATAGCTTGGGTTTTTGCAAGAGCTGACGAAGAGAATGTTAGCTTGACATCGCAGAATCGGTGGATGATATTCTGGATGAAAATATGGGCAAAGCCGAGAGGTTGTGTGTGGGCAATCTTGAACTGTGAACAGTGGTGCAGACTTGGGGCAGAGGTGCTTCAGACTTGGTTCGACGAGGACGTCGATTTCTTTTGGTGGGGAAGGTTTGTCACAGGGTTAAAATCCATCAAGGTGTAGGCTAACGAAAAGTGTTGCTGGACAGTAGCTACGGGGTGGTAGCTTGCGTGACAGTAGCGAAAATCAGCAGCATGCATGTGCGGCAGCACGCAACAGCTAACACAGCAGTGAGCTGACGAGAGTTGAGACTTGGGCGAGGATTGTCCAAGGCCTTGACAAAACAGTGCTGGGATGACATAATGGGACAGTTGGGAATTCGGTAGCATCGAGGAATTCAGCAGCGTCGAGGAATTCGGCAGCAGGGGCTGACGATAACTTGGACAACGGACAGTCCAAGGAATGCGAGACAGTTACGCTGGCAGCATGTGTGCTGGCAGTGGGCAGTTGGCATGTGGGAGAATATGCCAATGCAGTTGCGCCAGTTTTGGGAGCAGTTATCGGCAGTTGCGGCAGTTTCTTATATGGGGAAGAAAGTGGCTAGAACATGGAATAATGGGTGCTCTAGCTGTGCAGGAAGTTAGAGGCAGTTTATACTTGTAAGTTCTATTATCTTGTAATTAGATAGGTTGTAAAATGTGTAGCATGCAAGAGCGAAATGGGCATAGCATACAAGATGGACTTTGTATAATCCCTTAATTGAGTTAATGAAAAGGTTGGGACTTGTTCTTGTAATCTGCTATGTTGTGCATTTAGTTCATATTCATTAGTGTTATTCTGCTTGTTTGGGACATTGAACGAGTGTGGGAATCTCTTAGATTTATGAGACAAACTAGTTATAGGTAAAACACGAGTGAATCGGTGAGGGAAAGGCTGGGTCTAGCGAGACTAGACTGCCACACGAGGTCTGTTTTTAAAAGCGAAAAATTGACCCCGTGACGTACACATTTACACTATTTAAAGAGCCTAGAGTCGTTATTTGCTGATACTTGAAACATGTGTCAATATTTATAAGGAAAGTATTTAATATATATTAACATGCAACAATGCCGCTAAACTAGCATGATATTACAACAACCCATGGTACAATGATTGATATATATATATATATATATATATATATATATATAGATATATATATATTATTTTTTAGGGTGGGGTTAAATAAGGTACTAAAATACTTAACATTTAATATAATAATGTTAGCTAGCCACGGACGAGGAGTCTTGTAATGAATTAATTACATGTCTTTGCCTCGTACTAGCGGTCTCGAAACTGGCATGAAATGTCTGCAGATGGAGTTGTAATTTAAGGTTAACCCATTTATCTTCGAAAGTGACATTCAAAGTCAAATACCTATCAACCAACTTAAATTACGGGTGAGTCGGCCTCGTCTTCTTCTTCTTCTTCTTTTTTATTTTTTATTTAGTCCATAACCTTTTCTACTCCATGATAACGGGGCTCCATGCATCGAAAATAGCTATCTAAGTAGCCACAACTATTGTAGTATATATACATGCCTTAAATATGGGCGTGTGTCGACTTACTCCTTTATTCTACGTTAAATAATAAATAATAAGTGAATACTGAAAACTTTAATAAGTTGATAAAAATATTTAGATTCATTACTTGCCGATGTAAATACTTATTTTTTTTATATAAAATAAGTAAACTGAAAACCAACACCCGTTAATATATATTAATTGGTATCCCAATCTATACTGATAAATTTTTTTACTATTAATTTAATTCTTTTATAACATGATTATTAATTACATTAGGTATACCTTACCTTAGCTTCAACCGAAATTGGCTACTAAGTTGGAGGGGATCTCTATGATGCTCAAATTATAACTACCATAATTACAACATAAGGAGAGATAGATAGAATGGGAAAAAGAGACATACAACTATGGAGAAAAAGATAAATAATTTATATATAAAAAAAAATATATATTTTTATCATTCTTGGTGGGCTTATATGTGGTTTTTTCTCGTACTTGTGTCTATTTCTCTTCTATGTTGTAAGTATTAATAATGTAAACTTGGAACATCATACATTTTTTCCTCGCTGCATAATTAAATATTTCTATATAAAATGTAATCAATACTAGATGTTTACATCTTTGTTGGAAATGTATTTAACTAGCATGATTAAAATAAATTATGGATAAATAAAAAATTAATTTCAAATAACTTTTGGTTTTCCTACTTTAAGAACAATTGAAATTTTTTTTAAATTTAATTCCTGATTTACGTTGGCTAATCAAAGTTTAATAATTATAAGAATTAATTCTTTTTAACCTTTTAGCTTTGAAAATTTACTATTAAAAAAAGAAAGAAATGAAGAAAGAGTTTCAAACTTGATTTTTTTTCTAGATTTTACTTACTTGATTTTTTTTCTAGATTTTACTTACTTTTTCTAACATCATATTTTAGTATTTTCTTATCATTTTAAGTTTTGGTTTTCCTTTTAAATCTAGAGTTTAGATTTATCTTATTAAGAGATTTTGAGTTTTATATGTTTTGGTTCAAGGATCTTATTTAAAAGTGCACATTTCATCTAAAATGATATTGTTGAAATATTAGAAGATATATTACAAATATCCTAGTTGTATAAGTGACAAGCAATAAAACTTTTAAAAGAAATTATTCATAATCGACAATAATAAAAAATCGCTACTAGAACTTTTATCTTATATATATTGCAAGTTTAAATATATACTTAGTATGCATGCTAGTATTCTTTTTATTATATCTAAGGTTGAAATCATATTTATTTTGATTTTTATTTTACGTGTTTATAGATTTAAAATTATATGTTATTATTGTAGGTTTATCTTTAACAATTTTTTATGTTTTGTATGCTCTTTTATTATAATAAACTAAATATTTTTATATATTAATTTAATATGAAAAGATAAATTTTTAACAAGAATCTTCTCTTTCTCTCTCTTTAAAAAACCCCTTAAAATTAGTCTATTCTAAATTAAGCTGACATCTAGCTCCTGTAAATTGTTCTAAATGGCTGCAAATTCTCTTTTTTCTTATTAATAGTTTTATATTATCTTTTATTCTTTTGTTCTAATCTAAATTTTTCTTAGATGTAATATGACCATATGAATTATTTGGTCTTCTTTCTCGCTATGTTTTTCTCCTTAAAATAAATATTGGTAGTTATTTTCTAAGTATGCCGAGAAAAATTGATAATGATTAACATTTTTAGATCTTTCATCAGCATAGCCTTGGAATGCAAACAATTTCCTTATTGATTGATGATGACTAGGATTATATGTGTATGTAAGATGTAATAAATTTTTATATAAATAGTATAGGCTTAGGATTTTCCGTGTCTTTCAAATCATTAACAAGATTATTTAGTGTCCAAAAGACTATTTTATACTTTAATTGTTTTTCTCAAAAAGCTAGTTATGGTAATTAACTATAATGACATTACCATTTTAATTATACTTTTCAAAAGACTATGGATGCGTGATAAAAATAGTGATATAATTATACTTTAATTACTATAATGACATTACCATTTTCCTTTTATTGAAAAGAAATGTAATCAATTATGATATACTTTAGGGAAATCTCAAAGATTCTATTAGCTTTAGAAGGAAATTCGTCAATCAATCTAAAACAGGAAGAGAGAGATGAAAAAAGAGATTGGTCATTGGTAAACGTGGTTGATTGACATGGATTAAATAGAAAAGAAATATAATAATTAATATAGATTGGACATGCATAGCGTAGGAGTGGTATAGATTACGAGGAACATAGAAATAGCCGTTGATAGGAATGTGACTGCAAAATGTCAAACAGGCAACGACGAACTACAAACAAAAATCCCATCAGGCATCAACATGTCCTGCTTTGCCTCGCCATCTGCTCGTATCTTGACCAAGCTAGAATTAAATCCATGAGCATGCTATTTGATCTCCACACATATACAATATACACACATAAAAGACACCTTACTAAATGCCATCCGCAATTAACCACCCATATTTCCATCGCCCACAAGCAGCTAGCAGCTGAAGAGCAGCACCTCCCATACATAAACATTACACACACAGCTCCATCCCCTCCTGGCTACCCGTACTACCACTCCCACCTTTTCAATGTTTCTCATTTGCAAGAAGACTCATCAGAAGCATCCAAAGGCAAGAAGACTACGCCATACATGTCATTTTAAATCCACTTACTCAAACAATTAAATTTCAGCATGCAGCAGCACCATTAGCCGATCGAAGAAATTTATAGTAACAAAAAG